TTATTTTTGCCTCTTGCCAACCCTTAGGTATTTATAGGTGAGATGAACCGTTGGATGTGGGGCACGTGTATTATCTGATGGTATCGGGCGTCTGCTTATAGGCGTTAATCAGCCACGTTTATAGAGTGGGCGGGTAACTGCTTCTCCCGAGTTGAGTTGACATAAAGTTGATAAGTCACATCAACTAGCCTCTTGGAGACGTCAAACCAATTTAAACCTTAGGGGTAGAAAGGATCTTAGCAAACACCTCTTTCTGAAATTGGCGGCGTATCTTCTGATAGAGGTCTCCGGAGTGCACTTCCCCTCGGCATCATGGGCGAGGGCACTTCGGTCAGTTCGGCAGGATTGTCTATGTCTTGCAGTGTGATAGTAGATCGTTGACATTAGGAAGATCACTTCGGAACCACTTCGGGTAGGTGTCTAGTAGATCAGAGTGCCTGGTGGTGGAGATTTCGAGGTGGTTCAGATAGGGGCGTAACAATGGTCCTCCAAGTCCAGGTATGAATATTTATAACATGGATGGACTTGCCTTCCTGACCGGATGTGTATGCCTCGGTGTGTGGACCGTGACTTGTGGGAGTTTGTGGGCCGATCTTCTGCAATCGTCGAAGCGATTATCTTAGGTAGACGCTCTAAAGCTTCGCTACTGTGTAAGGAAAACAATTACATATGTGAGACCAAAGTGCTGCAAGACTGGATGATGCGTAGGACGGAGGTCAACGCATCGACCGAGGCGATGACCTACAGTGGACTCGCATCAAGTGCGTCTATGCTTTGTAAAGTTGAGTGAGGAGCTCATCTGCGACGCACTGGGGACTTCGCTTCAGGTGCGTCTATACTTTGTAAAGTTGAGTGAGGAGCTCATCTGCCACCGGTGCGCTGACCCACAGGGGACGACGCGTTGGGAGATGACTAAAACTTTGTAAAGCTTAGGCGGGAATGCATCAACCGAGGGGATGACCCAAAGGGGACTCCGCGTCAGGTGCGTCTACGCTTTGTAAAGTTGAGTGAGGAGCTCATCTACTACTGGTGCGCTGACCCACAGAGGACGATGCATTGGGAGACGGCTAAAACTTTGTAAAGCTTAGGAAGGAACGCAGGGACCGAGGAGATGACCCACAGGGGACTCCGCGTCAGGTGCATCTATGCTTTGTAAAGTTGAGTGAGGAGCTCATCTGCCACCGGTGCGCTGACCCACAGGGGACGACTCGTTGGGAGATGGCTAAAATTTTGTAAAGCTTAGGCCGGAACGCATCGATCGAGACGATGACCCACAGGGGACTCCGCGTCAGATGCGTCTATACTTTGTAAAGTTGAGTGAGGAGCTCATCTGCCACTGATACGCTGACCCACAGAGGACGACGTGTTGACAGATGGCTAAAACTTTGTAAAGCTTATGAGGGAACGTAGCAATCGAGGCGATGACCCACAGGGGACACCGCATCAGGTGCGTCTAAATTTTGTAAAGTTGAGTTAGGAGATCGACCCGAGGCGGGCATCTGACATTAAATGATTTGACAGCCGTTGCGTATTTCAAAGGTGACAGTTGGGTGCCATGCTCATTCCCCTAATTATAGACGGCTGGGGGTGACAGAGGTGATGCATTTTGTGCGAGCGTGAGAGTCACAGTAAGATCTTAGGCGTAGATCAAATCTGGAGTTTCATTTCAACGGCTTAGATTGATGATGCGACGAATGGCCTAGATTGATTGCATTTGGATTGAACGGTGGAGATTAGCTGGAACGTTCTATAAAAGGCGGACTTTAAGCGTCTTTGAAGCTTTTCACCCTTGTCCAAACAGAAAACTCACTTTGCTCTCAAATCATTCGCGATTTCCGGCGTTTTTCGAGCTTTTCCGGCAAGAAATATCAATTTTCGACGACCTTACATCATTTTCTGACCATTTTCGGCTGGGGAACCTTCTAAATTTGTAAGTTTCAGTATCTTTTAGTATATTTATTTTCTGAAAAATGGCTTCTGAGGGAAGTTCAGGTTCGGGGAGGGGCCAGAATTAGTGAGAATGGACGAGCCCACTGTGGTGACCTCCTACGATATAGCCGAAGCGATAATTGGGGAGAGAACATATGGAAGAGGCCGGATAGCCCGACTGATACTTTCGTGCACTAGGGGGGTCGGATTACCCCTCTAAACTAAAGGAGGCCGACCTAGAGAGACTTAGGGTAGAATATAGGATTCCAGATAGCGTAAATCTGATCCTCCCCGAGTCTGAAGAGAGGGCCTGCTACCCTAGGCCGGGGTGTGTGGCCATAAGTGAGGCGATTCTTAGAGCCGGCCTTAGGCTTCCAATTCACCCTTTCTTTAGGATGGTACTTAGGTCCTGTGGGTTACTCTCGACCCATCTCAACCCGAACTCCTGGAGCCAAATGGTGGGCTCTTGGATGTTATGGAAAGAGGCGTCACTTGGGGTTGAGATGCCACTCTCCGTCTTTCAGACCCTTTATATCCCTAAAGTGACAGCTGAGGGGATAGGACCCAGGGCTAGTATTACCTTACCTCATGTGGTTTCCATACTCTATTCGTGCTCGATCTGCTGAGCTCCATTAAAGAGTGGAAGGGCTTGTGGTATTGGGCCGCAGGACGATGGGACACGATGGAGGGGGACCCCTGATGCCTCTTACAATCCCCACGAAGTACTCGACACTTAGTGAGTATCACGGTTGTGTTTCTTTATATTTCTCTTCGGTTC